GCAGAGAGTGACGATGGAACGAAACAAGGTGAGAATGTCGAGGCAAAGGATTATTAAAAAACGATTCAAAATTTGAAAATAAGTGGCTAGGAACGCATCGTCACAGATGTCTACCCTTATAACTTTCCTTCTCCTTCCAGTAGAACATGCATGCCTGGCAAAACGATGGGAAGGCATTGATTACTTTGAAGTGGGAAACGGGGAGATTGGGTTTGAAATATTTTTTTATGATTCTAGAACAACAGTTCTAGCACTCACCGCGTTTGGTAACGGTAATCAAGAAATAATATAACTGTGATTGCAATTTTTTTTTCTTTATTTGTCTAGATTTGCAGTACACGATATCAATGTAACTACATACTAATTTTGTAACAAACATCATTTTGCTAAGACTCAAACGCAGATTTTGTCCACATCAAAATAATCCAGCTTTTGGTTTGATAAAATAATTTAATTCTCTTTCAAAAATTATAAATTGATACAGATTCATGTTAACATAACATTAAAGGTAGTTTTAAAAACATTTTTCTTACATAAAATAATGAATTAAAATAACCAAGGTCTGAAAATGCCTACCATTACAGCTACTCTTATTACCTAAATCCCATTCTTGAAAAGTTGGGGAAATACTTTGTTTAGATTAAGTAATAAATTCACATTACTGTGACACGCTAGGGCCATTGAATAATAATAATTTGGAATTAAACAATACGAACCTAGTCTAATTTGTTAGCATCGCATTATATTCAGCAACTCGGCCGTGAGTAATTGAAGTACTTGTGTTTTCCATACGTTATTGAGCAGCTAATAGAACTCGATTTTTCACCGTATTTGAAAACTGTTCAGTTTAGAGTTGTACATCACCAAAACTGCGTTCAATCTTCTTCGTAATCTTCATCGTCTGAGATATACTTACGCTGCTTGCGTTTCCGTGACGGCGTATTTTTGCCTTTACCTTTCAGCTTGATTTTCATTTTCATTGACCGATTTGATTCTCCATCGGAATCGTCCTCTGAAAATAGTATGCTTGAATGAGTTTGTGTTTAGTGGAAATGAAAAAATGTCGTGCCATTTCACAAATACTGACACACTCCTCATTTGGGTATAAAAAATAAGGCAGTTTTTTTTTTATATATTCGGTATATTACATATCAGTTACTCATTCGCCTCGTTACATATTTATCTCGTTCAAACTGTCACCCTGTATAGTTTAGTTGTTGTTATTATTGGTAATGCTATAAGACACTATTTCAAACAGTTCTAAGTAAGAAGCGGGGTAACTGGTTGAACGGCATACCCTTATTTCTCCCCCACCACAGTGGGGGAGGTGTGATTGGTCAGTGTGGTAAAGCATGCAATCACTATGATTTAGTATTTCAATACGGTTATGTTATGGTTCGGCTTCAAGGAAAGCGTGTAAACTTGTGCAGATTACATGAGGTAGCATTCATTCAGCAATGTATACAAACGCATTCTAGTCTGGCCCAAGTTACTAGCGGCGAAGCTCGACTGTGTACACGTCATTTTAGATTTAGCTTTTATGTCCTCTGTAGAAACTTTTTTTCTGTATCCCCTTTGTAGCGCGTAGTAATTACAGTTTCCATTGCGTATGTATGTGGCTTGATGTATGGAATTTATTAAGAAAAAAATTGCATTTATTCCCAGGCAAGACGGTTTTTATTGCAAATCCTAATGCAATTGAGGCTAAGTATTATATGCACGTAAAATCAAAGTGCTTCAAATTAGAAATTATTCCACACCAAATGCAAGCAAACCGATTCTACCTTGTTTACCTTTGTCGTCATCAGATTCGTCAGAGTTCTGTCCACTCTCATATCGGCGTCTTATTTCGATAAATACGTTTCGTAGCCGAACGGAATCCTCGTAAATGAGCGACGCTTCTTCGTTGTAAGTTTGAGCGTTTGCGCATAGTGTGAAGAAGTCTCGCTCGAGATCAGTTATGTCGTTATACTGTAAAACAAAAAACAAAATAATTATTAGTAATAAAACATAATTCTTATAAAACATACTATTTAACCGTTTAATTATAAAGTGGAATAAGGTCAGGGGTCCGAATGACTCAGTGTCGTATTTAAAGTACAAAATTGTATAGCGCCGCTAACGGTTTCGTCAGAAACCGTAGCTGTTTTTTTATAATATCAAATGACGGGATGAACAAGTCCTGCGCCGATGATAAGCTACATGCCTGTCCATAATAGTTGCAGTGGCACTCAGAGGTTTAAATCGCAAAGATCTCAGAGGCTGCCACTGCGCGTGTCATCCAGAGACATAAGTTGACAAGTGTCATGTGTTTGTAATTTCACCAGCACCCTTACCTTTCAAAACCGGAACACAGTAATACTGACATTACTGTTTGGCGGCAGAAGTAGGTAAGGTGACAGTGCTTCCCTGGACGAACTCTTTCACAAGGAGCTCTACTGCTACTAAAGCATAGTTCAATATAGTCATAAAATTCAATTGCAATACAAACTTTTAGATCTTCAATCCTGTTCATAATCTTCTTTATATCTAGCGGCTTCTTGATGACGTCATAGTAGTCTGGAAGCTCGCGACGTGACGGCAATTTCATGAAAGGTTCTGATAGAACTCGCCCGCCCCTGAACAAATTAAATGTTATATGTTACCAGAAAAAAAAGGAAAACGAGTACACGACTGCACTATGCAACATCAAGTGCACTATTACTTAATTTGTCTCGAGAATAATTCTAAATAGTCTCACTGAAGGCTATTATTGGTTCGTCTAACTACATAATTTTGCAAATTACGTATACATTCGTTAGTGGATATATTATTTCAAAATCTGTGAGTTTGGGTGTAATTTGTGGTTGTCTATGTGTGTGTCCATGGCACCCGCGACACAGGGTTTCCCTAGTGCAGGGCTATGTAGTAGCACTCACTCATCAGTATGTTCGATGACTTTCTTCATAATGTTCTTGAGCCTCTTTTTGAGCTGGTTCATTTCGGTTTTGTTCTTTTTCTTTGAGGAGCTCGGAACTTCTTCCTCGTCTGATTCCTCTTGACGACTGTGAACGATACGCAATAAAATGATGTAGTTTTTTCGTTATGAAAATAAAGGTTATCCAACACAAAACAAACCAAATTTTATTCAGTGTACCAATTCCGTTGATATGATTTTATAGATATGGTCTGTACTCTGACAATTTAATTTACCTACCCTATACAGATGAATGCAACCGAGCAATTTCTACATAATATACTTAAGAGAGTCTCCTTTTCCCACTGACCATTCCTATATAAAGCGGCGCTAGAGCGTAGGCCATGCCTTTTGTACGTCGTTTGTCGTTGGGTGCGGTGCGATCGTAATCAGCGTCGAGATGATGTAAATTACGTCAATTGGTATTTTCTTTGTTACTTTTACGTTTGAGAAATTCTAGCGGATAAAGGTTGTTTTTGTATGATATGAACATATTTTTGTGGGCGCGTTCCCATTATGTCGTGACGACAGACAGTCGTGCAGTTCAAAATGTCGTGGCTTGTATATTTAAATGAAGTTGTTCACATAGTACGACACGATTAACTGTCGTTAGCAAGTTCCTTGACGTTACGACGACAGACTGTCGAGACAATGGGAAGAGCTAGAGCGACAGTCGTCTGTCGAAAAATAAAACGTCACGATAAAAATGTGACGACAGATAATCGCAGCTACTATTGTCGTCACGTTTTATCTATCGTTGTCTTATATATCTGCCAACGACAAGGCAGCTGCCGTGAAATTACAAAATGTCGCCACGGTCTCGTGGAAACAGCAAACACGTCAGTCGTTCAATGATAAAACAAACATCTATTACAGTCACAACACAACAAATAGTCGTAATATGGGAATAGGCTAGACGCGACTGTCGTCCAACGATAAATAAAAGGATACGATAGAACGCGCCCTAAGTTTATAAAAACTAGTTTAATGTTTAGTTTTAGTATTCATTTTAATTTCGGGATCCTAAATATATATACATATCATACTATATATATATATATATAGTATGATATGTATATATATT